ATTCCTCTTCGCATCTCTAATCCTTTTGCGGCAGTTCACACTTAAGCTAATCACAAATGAGATCGCAATGCAAGTCTTGATTGGAAATGTCATACTTTTATGGTCTTCTTTGATAGTTTTGTGTTCTTGTGAGATTTGGGTTTGTTGAGTGGGAGAGAAAGATGGAATCTTCCGAGCAGCAGATGCGATCGGTGGCTGATACGAGAGGGAAGCATCGGATTTCAGCTGAGTTGAAGCAGCTAGAACAAGAAGCTCGTTTTTTGGAGGTCAGTCTCTTCCCCTCTCCCCAAACTTTACTTTGACCCCTTCCCATTTTTTCGACTTCAAAACACAATATTTTGTTCTGCAATTCTTGGGTAGATGAAGCTATCCTCGATTTATGTTGTTTACTGAAGTTGGTATTTGATAGTTGGTTGAGAACAAATGGCTGAAATAACTTTGAAAGAGGAAAAAAAATCTTGGTTATTTGATAGTTTATACTTTTTAATTGTTATTAATTTTGTCATTCTTGAACTGTGATGAGTAACAGTGCATTTAAAACTTTATTGTTTCGGTTAAGGGTAGGAAGTTCGAAACCTTCCTTCTGGGAACATGTTTAAGTTTTCCCCTTGGGAACATATTGAGGGAAAGATAAAGAAAGCTATTATTGCAGGAGGTACTGGAAAATGGAGAGAAGGAAAACAGAAGTGATAATTCAGTTAAGAATTTAAGTTTCAGTTAACTATCATCTCTGCAACTGTTTGGTAGGAATGCTGCTTGTTGTATGGTAGTTGGTAAACCTTTGGCATTTATAGATAAAGGGAGAGTGAGGGAGGAGTGTAAATGAACTATAAATATGGTTATGGGATGGTTAATGAAAATATAATCTGTAATTCCTCAATAATTCATTGAAATAAGATCTTTTGTCTCATGTTAGCCTGCTCTAGACTCTAGTCCCCTTACGAAAGTTACTCAATCTATTTAGATTGGAATACCCACTAGCCGCCTCCAATTGATCAGTTATGGATTCACTGCAATTCATCTATATAGAAAATAGCTTTTTAAAATAGAGGTTTTCGATTCTTGTATTTGTATTTTGCATCTGCCCTAAGAATGTCTCAGACTAGTGATATTCTAAATACTCTGTATTTATCAGTTCTTACTTGGTGTCTAAGGCTTTGGGTAGTAGAGTAATGTGAGTCCAACCTCTTACATATATCTTCTCCTTCGTACGGATTGCTCAATACCAAACCATTTCTTCTCCATTCCCCTCCTACCAAACAGCATACAAAATCTATCCATTTCTTCTCCCATATTTCTTTCTCTCCCCTTTCAACTGAATGAAACCAATGCAAAATGGTTGAGGACTTGGTAACACGAGTTTACTTTTTATTTATTTATGATAATAGTGCACAATGAAATTCTTGATGTTTACATTACTGCGTATGATTTGTACACTCTATGAGGTTCAAATGCAATGTAAGGACAAGTATAGAGAATCTTATTTTGAGCATTGATATTCCCAAAGTCCCAAAGTAATACTCCCATCGTTCTATTGGAAGTGAGTCATGGGTATAATACTAATTTTAGTCTGAGACTAATAACTAGGAAGCCTTTTTTCATTTTTCACTTTGACGTGTATATTCCCAACATTTCCTGGTGAAGTAGAGCTGTAGAGGCACTGAGGCAGGCAGGCAACATTCCCAACATTGACGTGTATATTCAGCACACTTTTGTGCACTGTCCTAGTTATTTAGGCTCCGTTTGGTAGCAATAATCGGCTTATTCTTCTGACCAGCAGAGTAAATATATTTTGACTTAGCTGTATGACTGTAGGACTGGGTAGCTAATTGAGAATCTCAATTATCAATTGAAGCTTGGTAGCTTCATGGCTGTTCAGGGTGAAGCTTGGGAGCTTCATGGCTGTAGGACTGGGTAGCTAATTGAGAATCTCACCTCCCCAGTCCCCTAGAAGATGCCCTACATAAAAGTACTAAGGGTCTGTTCGGCAATGCTTATTTTAGCTGAATGTACTACTCACTATGTCCCATTTTATAGGATATCTTTACTATTCACTTGGTCAACACAAATCACTCTTAATCTCTTACTCTATATATCAAAATTTATGAAATTTGAATTATATTATGCAGGTTTTGTAGCGGTTTTAATATAGTTTCTGAATATGTAATTTTTTTTTACTAAAAATAATTTGAGTGCAGATAGGGATCCGCTTGCTTTATCGTCGGCCAAACATCGTAAACCGAAAAGTATCTAATAATTCGGGTCGGAGGGAGTAATTTTTTTAGGGAATAGTGCATGGTGACATCCATTTCAGTCATTCAACTAAGTCAACAACAACATTCAAGCCTTTCTTTTGTGAATAAGGCTTGAATGTTGTTGTCGACTTAGTTGTATGACTAATGGATGTCACCAAGCACTATTACCTTACAAAATCAGTAGATTCAGCTAAAATAAGCATTGCCGAACAGACCTTAGTACCTTGCTACTTTTATGTAATGCATCTTCTGGGGAGACTGGGGAGGTGAGATTCTCAATTAGCTACCCAGTCCTACAGCCATGAAGCTACCAATTTCACCCTAAACCCCACTGTAATTATTTCCCAGAGATCAAATATTATTTGGTGATATTTCTGAGCTGATATTTCTGACGATGTTAAACTTCTCCAGGAGGAACTGGAACAAGTAGACAAAATGGACAAAGCTTCAGCTGTTTGCAAGGAGTAAGTAAAAGAGGATAATATTGAGATTATCAGTGATTTGTTCAATATCTGTGAAGTATCATATATCTAACTTAATCATCATTTTGCTTGGACTCTAGATTATTGGTTAATACACAAACCAGACCAGACCCACTGCTTCCAGAGTAAGGAAAATAACTTCTTCATTCGTTTAAAGTTAGTATCTTTTCTCATGAACCGTCATGAAAATATTTTTATAACTTCTGTACCAGAACGACTGGCCCCACTAGTCCTCTTTGGGATCGATGGTTTGAGCGACCGCCAGATGCATCTAGCTGCAGGTGCTGGATACTTTGATTGTTCCACGCTGGATTAGACGTTTCGGTGATTTATTGGAGTATTCATATTCAACCTCTTACAGCATGTTGCCCTACTGAATTGATGTAAAGTGTGAAGTAAAGATTATTTCAATGTGCAGAAAATTGTATTCTTTTTTTTGTATTTCTTTTGGTTTATTATGAGGCATTTGATGTTAATGAGTCTAGATGTTTAGCATTCTGCAGACACCAGACGCCTGCCAAAAACAACTTCTATGGCTGTTATTTTTTTCTTGTTAACATATATTTACACAATGTACACCATCAGTTCTTTAACTAGTGTCCACTGAGGAAAAAGTTGGTTTACGGGAGTAATTAATTTTCAATTTCATTTATACCCTTGTGAAGTTTTGAGTGTGACTTGTGCTAAGTTTAAGAAAATGAAAATTGTTTGTCTTGAAGAATCTGAAGTCTGAACCATGCAAATGTGCAATCTTTACTTGCACTGGAAAAGCATCACTCATTATTTATAGATGACTCAAAAAGGATAATGTGAAGATAAAAGGGCAATGGTGAAGCAATTAATGGCCAGACATGGCCTCTTGGATGTAGGGGTGGACTCGGGCCGGTTCGGGCCTAGGCCCGGTCGGGCCTAGGCCCGGTCGGGCCTCCGGTTCAGGAATGGGGGCCGGGAACCGAGTGCAATTTTGTTCACCCCTTCCTTGGAGGGTGAACATCACCCTCATAGCTCAAATGTTGCCATTTGGCATTTCATTTCTTTTTTTGCCACATGGCAAGCAAATAGGGAGGGGGGTTATGTTCACCCTCCAAGGAGGGGGTGAACAAAATTGCACTCCCCGGAACCGGCCCGGGTAACCCCCGGTTCCGGGTCGGGCCGGGCCTCGGGCCTTAGCTATATTTTTTTTCTTTTATTTTCCTAGTTTACCCCCAACCCTCCCCCTCACCCCCAAACCACACCAAATGGCCAAAAATACCCAGCCCAACCCGAAAAGTAAAAAAAATAAACAAAATAATAATAATAATAAGGCCTGGAACCGGGCCCGAACCGGCCGGGCCGGTTCATGATTTGGGGGGCCCGAGCCCGGACCGGACCCTCAGTGGGTTGGGCCTACCCGGACCGGTCACTGACCGGGCCACCGGGCCGGAACAGTGCCGGTTCGGGCCGGTTCCGGGTCGGGCCACCCGGCCCGAGTCCACCCCTGCTTGGATGTTTAGATATCAAAAGAGCCAAACAAAAATGTACAATCGGTTGAGATGAGAACTAAGCCATTTGTTGAATTTACTTGTAACCAAATTTAAACAATAACCAACGAGGGCAGTAGAGTCGGATGCAGCTCTAGTCACTGGTTTTTTTTTCTCATCATAGTCACTGTGGGTTTAAGCAGAGAGCCATACTCTTTTTTACTTTAATGTTATCTTGGGTGACTTTGAAGCGATCTAGCAAGAACAACCATTCTTTTATCCGGTTGTAGGAATAATTTTGAGTTTTCTCCTACTTGTATTGCTAGAAGTGACAAAGTAGACATGGCCAGGTTATGATCTCACTATGAGTACATCTATCAGACTATCATTCTTTCATAACAATCTATTCCAATTCTTTCATAACAATCTTTTGGACTGTTTTCAATCACAGACCAAACCAAACCAGACTTAAACAGACCAGACCGGACCAGACTTTCTTAGTTATAAAATACACAGAGACCAGACGTTTACCAGACCAGACCAATTCAAACCAGACCAGACCAGCAAATTTCAGTCCAAAAGAAAACATCCTGCGAACCAAATGTTTATAGTGTGGGCAGGGTTTAGGATCAAAACCGTTCGATAGGATCCAGGATGCCAATAGTCCCAATTTATGGAAACCTGAACCTGACCAACATATGTCTGGTTATCAGTGCTGGTCTGTTCCAGTCCTAGAGACCATTTCTCAGGTATGGCAGGGGAAAAACAAACCGGGCCCTACCCACCGGTATTGGGCTGAGGTGGTTAAAAGCTATACATTGCAGATTTCAATGACCTTTATTGAGACAAAAAAACAACGATATCATCATTAATACCAAACCAAATGTAAAATGTTCCTCCATTAGTATCCTTGTCATCACAAGCTTTACACAATGAGATTCTAGAGAAATAAAAAGATAAGAGTAAAAGAGCGTATGAGCACATCTTATCTCAGTCTGTAAGGATTACACAAATGGCATTTTACACCAAAGCTTCACACTTCCTTCTTAGCTTGTAGCTTTTCCAGTTACTCGCTGTGCAACCCATCCCAAACCATCATAAAGGCCATCACCTGTAAGGGCGGAACATGCTTGGATGTGCCAATCATGGTTCTTAATGCTGTGAAGGGACAAAGCATCTGTTATCTCAGCAGCAGTCATGGCATCTTTAAGGTCCTGTTTGTTAGCATATATAAGTACAACAGCATTTTGCAGATCTTCATGGGGGAGAAGCTTGAACAATTCATCCTTCATAATGGATATCCGGGCTCTGTCTGTACTGTCTATAACTGCAATAACAGCATGAGTTCCCCGGTAGTATGTGGCCCACGATGTCCTGAGCCTATCTTGCCCACCCAGATCCCAAACCTGTGGAAGAACATTATTATTGATTTTATGAGATCGGTTAGAACCTAGAAGGTCCCTAATAAAAGTTCATTTGGAACTCAGAAGATGTTAGGGAAAGAAAATGGGTACGAAATATTGAAAGGAAAAAATTTATGGGGAAATATAAAAGGCTGTTTAAACATGATAGATCAAATTAGATACACTTGTGAAAACTCATTTTACTTGTATATTTCTATTATAGGATTATGTAAAGACTACAAATCTCAAGTACTTAACATGTGTGAAATTTAAACGCAATTAATTTTCTTTGGTGATTTCCGAAGTAAAATCAAGTGTATAAGAAGTATACTCTTTGGTCCTTTCTCCCTGCCACTTACAACGATCCAAACTTAACCTAATGATCAACAGAATTCCAAAATGTTCCTGTGTGGAAAGACTCCAGATTATATGGATTTTTAGAACATGTCCAAACAAATACGAGTATAACGTTTTATTTAGTGTGAGCTTCAGGGCATTAGTATGAGTAAAACAAAATAAGAAATTATCCTATATAGGAGTAAAACATTACCAAAAACAAAAGTAGAATTACATGTTTTAAATTCCCAAAATATGAGTTATAATTACTATGCTACTGTTGGGCAACGGGCATTTATTTGCTGCTATTTTTACATATTCAAGAGGTTTCAATAAGTGATTTTATTCTCTAGTTAGGTACTTAATTTGTTTTATTTTAATAAGTGGTCAAAGGGAGCAAGTCATTTTTTTAGTTTGAGTATTTGACATTTTTAGACCAAGTAAATTGATTTAGTCTTCTAAGTGGAAACCTACTAACGTGCCTTCACTTTATAATTAGATAAGGATTCATTTGTTTACTTGGAGCAAACTGAAAAGTCACGTGCAAGGAGGAAACCAACGATCAGAAAGAAAAACGCAGCACAAAATAAGGAAAGAAAGAGGGAAAGAATCTGCAGTTTCCTATCAGCTTTGATTGCTTGAGAAAGTTTCGGGATTGCAGCAACTGAAGGAGGGATTTGCGAACAGAGATGAACGGTTCCGAAGAAGGCGGCTGCAGCAAAAATAAATAGAGCAGAGAAGAAGAAAAAACGCAGAAAGAAAGGAAGGAAGGAAGGAAGGAAAGGAGAAAACGCAGCAAGAGCAGGTGTAGACCAGAAAAAAAACAGCGATCAATCTTCAACCTTTGGGCAGTTTTTCCATCTTTAATTTTTGCAATTTCAGTTTAATTTGGTTCTGTTTTCATTGCTAGATGAATACCAGTAGCTAAACCCATAATTTTCCAATTCCAAGTTAATACTCTATAGTTTGATTGGTGAGATTTATATGCTTAATGATGGATTCATCATGGTATTCTATACTTTTATGAATTAATTTCAGTTGAATTCATGAGATTAGTTTATTTGGATGCATACTTATTTACTATTCTTGTGAGTTTATTACTAATTGAAATCTGAATTGTTGAAATTAGGTTTCATTATAGTAGTAACTAGGTGCTTACGAACCATCTAGAAAAATATAGAAACGAATTGAATATTCACCCATTTGGGAGATGTTATTCGTGTTGGCTTAAAATTCACAAAGATTAATGCGATTGAGCCTTGAATCTTAAAAGTTTCTTATAAGATTGGGAATCAATTAGACTTATTGACGGCGTTTGTCACTTTTAGTTATAATAGATGAATTGGAGATTAGTTTGCGTTTGTAATTAATCCACGCCAACTATTATGATGAGTGAATTTCCTTTGTCAATGATTGATTAAACTTATGAGTCAAAACTTGGAATTGGAAATCTCTATTTATATAATCTAAATCTCCATATACGCTTTAATCTATTTTATACATACTCTGCATTTTTAATTTCTTTCGATTTAAAAATATTTGATTTGATTCTAATAACTTGAGAATTGGTAGTTAATCATCCAAACTCCCTGTGGGATCGACCTGAACTTTCCATATCTACGTGTTAGTTCAGTTTATTATTTGGTGTTAAAACGACACGCACCAGCCACCTCTTACCTCTTAATTCCTTCTCCTTCTCTCTTTCCCATCTTCTATCGTTCCGTCGCTACCCCCCATCACTAGGCTTCTATCTCCCCCCCCCCCTCTCCCTCCAATCTGCTTCTTCATCATTCCAGCACCTCCTCCTTGCTCCCCCCCCCCCCCCCTTCCTATAGGTTTGTCACTTTGTTGCAACTGGATTTCACTGAAACTATACCTTATTATATACTGCTTTGGAGTCTGAGACTCTTGGTCCGCGCTGGATTGACTGATTGAGCACAAATCAGGGGGAGTAGCCTCACATAAGCAGTGAGAATATACCCATCTTCTTCATCGGGCACCATGCTTGAACCCGTTGTGGGTTAAGAGGCGCATGAGGCAATAAAGGCGTCTGAATGTCCAGGTGAGATATTGATTTGAAAATATTGCCAATTTTAATGCACTAACTTCATTAAGATGATATTATTCCTTTTTTAAATGCCATAATCTGCTCTGGAAATGCCATGAATTCCAATTTGAAATTAATTTTCTCGTTTTATGATGTAATCTCATTTTTGTATATTTCAATTTACATAGGATTATTCGATCTGAAAATGCATTATTCGATTTTACAATGGCATTATTTGATCTATAAATGCCACAATTTCGGAACTGCGGATGCGACAAATTTCAATCTGAAAAAGCCATATTTTTCCCGGAGGATGACAGCAGCTAACGGAGTGTTCAATGTAACTGCTTTTGTTTCAAGATTGAAAATTTTAATTAATTTGAAAAACAAGTAGGAAAAAATGTTTTCTAGAGGAGTATCTTACAATTCTAAAGAGCTGATACAGAAGGCGGAACTCCCATCACAAAAGTGAGCAGGCTGCCGCTTTCCTTTGAGGACATTTTTGGATTTCCGTTTTTGTTTTTAGTCCTGTAAGGACACAATGAAAAGTAGTACTCCTACGCTTGCAATTTAACTTTCATTTACTCCTACTTGGGTCATCAATGCAAACAAAATCTCATAAAGGATCGCATCATGCAATCAAACGAGTAGCATGGAAAAGGATCCCAAGTTTCAATTTGTATATGACCTGCTAGTGTAAGAGACAAGGCCTGACTTCTTCCCCTGATGTACTACTAGTCTCCTTAGTTATCCTCTATTCTGGTATTGCTTTATAGGATAAATAGGAACTAAGGCTTGTTTGATACACAAATCCAATAGTCTGGCTTATTCTTCTAATCAACAAAATAATAATTATTACGTAGTATTATAATTAAAATGTAGCTTTTAGCTTGGCTGAATTTAACAAAAGCCTTTCCTTATACAGATTCAAAGATTCTTCCATTTCAGCCAAATAATTGAAGCTCTAGCTCAAAGTCCAACTGTCCAAGAAGGGGCTAAAACCCTAATGATAAATAAAAGTCCCAAAGTTATTAATTCTATAAGCTAAAGAGTCCAAATAACAAAGGACAAGCACCAAAAGATTTCCATGACTTCTCTCGGAACAAAGCTCCTATACCATGGACTTCATTATAGCCATTTTATCTAATACATAACTTTTCTAAAGACCTCAAGATATCCCAATTTTCTTTCAACAAGTAGCTAGTATTGTCTACTTGTTTGGCCATGTCTTCATATATCCCTTGTTTTCACTTTCAAGTTTCAATAAAACCAATCCTATAGCTAAAATCTTCTACTGAGAGATACTTATCAGGATTTTTCAACATCTCTAAAATCTTGATTCTGGTGAAACTAATAAACTTGCCTTGGATCGAAGGACTTTCAAGATCTTTGAAAAGTTCTTAGTGAAAATAAGCAAATAAAAAATTAAGGCAATTCAGCATCGCAGTATCCCAGTAATTTTTGAATATCATAGTAAAAAAGGATACTTTATCTGGTTTCCTGCCCCTAGGAGTCAAAAATACTAAAAAGAAAACATAATCCACCGTGCTGCTTTTTATTCATGGTCTTCCTTGATGGGAGAAAATAATTACTCCACTGGAATTCACTACAAACGGTATCCCGCTCTCTGAATACATAAATAGTCCACCCTTACGAATTTCAATGATAGCATTTCATCTCTCACAAATAGGTAAAAAATCGAGATCCGTTTTAGATTATGCTTTCTATCAGTTGCTTCAAATTCGTTTCTAATATGGATTTAAAGGATATATGAGATAAATAAACGAAAGACATCAAATTTGCAACCGTATTGTAGAACTAATCACAAGAAGAATCCGCATAAATAATCATACGATTCGAACCTCGAAACGGATGTTCTTATATACTAGCTCCTCGACATTACTGCCAACAGTAGGGTGAGTAGTGACCACCTCTCCCAAGTGCAACTTGTAAAGCGTCGTCGTTTTGCCGGCGTTATCCAGTCCGACCACCACAATCTTGTACTCTTTTGCCGGAAACAGCATGAACCAAAACCTCGATAAAAAACCTCCCATGTTTCGCCGTTGTGCTGTCGAAAGGCTTCACAAAGGATACAATTGATTTTCTGATTTGAAAACGAGATTAACTGTTATCTTCGATTCGGATATGCACCTGCAATATGGCTTCTGTGTCTAGATCGGAAGAGATGGGAACTATTATCCCTCCATTCTCTTTACCAAACATTAACTAAAAAGTCTACGAGTATTTTATTAGAAAAAAATGAGAAAAAAATGACAAGAATAATTTAACTTTTCTCAAGTTTTCTCCTAATAATCTAATCTTATGTAATTCCAAAATAATTACATCTTTACACTCTAATTTTCACTTCTTGATGATCTACTATACCAGGTTTTTTACCCTTTCTTTCAAAATTATACAAATAATCTCACATTTCACATTTTTTATTATCTTAAAAGCTTATAATCCTAAAAAAAAGCTTATAATCCTCAATGAGGGTTAGGGCATTTTAGCTATGAAAATTGTGTTGGTGTAATCATTTTCTTTAGTGGATGGTACATTGCGTTTTGGCTTTGATACTCTTTGGAAGTTTAAAATTTTCCGTTTAACTCCCGTCTAGCTTCCATTTGCCCTAGGTCATTGTAATTTCGCACACCCGTTTAGCTCCCGCCTATCTAATCAACTCGGATGTCGCACACCTGGACCTCCCTCTCCTTTCATTCCCGAATGCCCCTGAGCTTGGATTCGCGCACAACAGGTATCACCGATTAAACGACGCCTTGACCGAACCAGGCTAACTCCAGTCGTTTCCCCTTCTTGCGCCAAATGTTCAGTTTCTTTTCGCGCCTTTTCTCCGAAATATATGCACAGCTCATCTCCTTCTACATTAATACCCACATTATTTTGTTATTCAATTCCATATCATTGATTGCATCAGTTATGGATGATGCAGGAACTCAATTCTCCAGACCTTCAGCCTTCAGCAGATACAAATGGGTTTGTGCGCAGTCTTGGAAAAACTTCCGCGCTCCCAAACCACCTTTGCACTGTAAGCATTGCCTCTCACTGCTTTGTTTTCCTATTTGTGTTGCTTTTGAGTTCCTTTAGCTTTGTCACACGATAATTCATCTCCTTGCAGATTGTTTCTAAATGCCTATTCTGTTTGGCTATGATCCCCCCGTTTTATTACATGTGAATGGCGTAAAGTTCCTTGCCTCTGTGAGCATTGACATGATAGCGAATCTTATTCGCTAAAGTGAGCAAATCAGCTTATGGGATTATTGACTGGTGGTGGAAAATATTACTTATGTAATCAATACATCATTGGCCTATAGGGGATTATTTAACACCTAAATGAATATACCTTCCTTGCCTCAATTTTTACTTTCAGTTTATAGAGCACTAACTCTGAATTTGTTTTCAACTAAAAAAGAGTTAAAAGATCAATGACATATCAAAATAATCTTATCTTATTGGTTTGTTATACAGACTTAGTGGTTGATAGTGAACATTGATAGAAAAAAGACAAACGGAGACAATGTATGTCTTTGAACTGATTGTCATATTAGTCTAGCAGAAAAATCACTTATAATTTACATGAAATAAATAAAAAAAACCAAGATTTGTGCTGCTGTGATTATGGTTTTTACTTTTCCTCCCAGAAAACTGGCTACCTGGGTATAGTTAAGGAAGCATAACATTGATGACTCAATTTGAAAAAAATGGATAGTTGTTTTCTCATATAACAGAAAGATTGAAATTTCCCACCACCATTACATAGATTGGGCTATGAGTAAATCCAAAAGAAAGGATGGCCAATTTGTCATATATTAGAAAGAAAATATACTTCTAATCTGTTTGGAAAATATACTTTTAATATGTTTGGAAAGTTTAAAAAAAGGTAGAAATCTATCATGGGAGCTAGACTTGAGATGGTGTTTAATTATTTATTTAAAGAACATGAAAGTAGTTTGTTTACTTCTACCATATTGAATAAAACATGGTAAATGATTCAACTTTCGTTAAAAAAACATTTTTAGAATATAAAACATCATCATGATTTAGCATATTTCCGTGTTTTTTTATCTTTGTTGCTTACTCTCGGCTCGGGAAGATATTAGTCGACAAAGAAAAAGCTATGATTTAGTCTGAGTGTGCTATAATGAATGATTAGCTTAAGTCTGCTCCAAATTACAATAATTTCTGCCTAGTCCGGAAATTAAAATTTCGCCCATACTTTACTTTTTACCATTGGGTTGAACGCATTTCATTAAACATACCTGGTGCTCATCTTCACTAGCTAATACTAGATGTTTTGATTGTTCACTTGAAGTTCAAACCTTCTTATTGAAATTTATGCACTATGATAGTTTCAGAAGTTATCTGTGATCTTTCTTTAAGTGGTTTTGTCTTAAAAAGCTATTAAATGAGTGCTAGAAAAGTAGATAAAGTTGAGAATATGGTTATTAATTATAACTTTATAACTCAGGTGCAGTTGTTAATGACTCTTCAGTTTTTCTCCAGTTTCAAGCCTCGAGCCATCTTCAGTTTTTCTCCAGTTTCAAGCCTCGAGCCAAAACGCTGATGGATAGAAGTATAAAACTAAACCTTATATAGTTGACTCCATTCAACTCCTTTACGAAATAGCCCGGTGATTAAATTAAGTGTGCCAGCATGTAGAAACATGCAAAGAATGTAAAAACACTTTCCCTTAAAGTTATAAACAAAAGAAAACGGTTTCACTCTTGATTTTCTTACTTTTTGTGCAGCCATCTATCTTCATTTGATTCTTTGATTTTTATTGTTTGAGAATCGGTTCGGTCTACCAAGGTGTTAGTCTGATTGCTTAAAAATGCTTTATTTTAGGTTGCACGGGTTCATGGCGATTCACCGAAGAGCAAGTTCATTTTGAAAGGTACAGAAGTAAATTTTAAGTGTATTGATTAAAATGAAAATTATGATGAATGATGTTATGCAATGCTCATGTAGTATGGATGACCTGTTTTGATTTAAAGTACCATAGATTAAAGACACGTTCACCATGGTTGGAGGAAGTTAAATAAAATCGCATTTCCAACTCGACTACACTACTGAAACTAGAAATGCAGTTTACATACCTTTGTTTGGCAAAGAGGTTATTAACTATGTATTATGTTACGAGTGAGCTGTGATTTAGAGCTACTTTTATTAATCATTTTGAAATCATATACTACTGCCTTCATGTCAACTGTTAACAATGTAAATACGCCCTAGAAACCATTTAGTTTTTGTGTGATATAATATCCCTTTTTAACAAGGATTTTCACTACTCTGTAATTTGATATACAAGTGTAATAAACTTAATGCTTTTTAAATTTGGTAAATTAAAGACCTTAAGTAATTTGAGGGAGGATGTGCAATAACTACTAAATAAATTGCATTTCCTTTTTGTATCTTTACCACATCTTTTAAAGATCAAACGTTTAAACCATTTCAGACCACAAAAAAGGCCTTATTGATCTGTAAATGAACTTAAATTTTAGAATAGTCATTCAATCGCTATCGTGGAAATTTTAGCCCCTCATTGTCAACCCATTAACAATAGGAGTCCAAATATGCCATAGTTGAGGAAATGTTTGCAAGAGTACAATTAGGGGCTTCCTCACACTGTGATCCATCTGCTAACGGAATGTAGTTTGCCATAAGAATGAATTGAGAGGCGCTAGAATAGGATGTTTAGAACTGAGAGTGAAGATGATACTTCATATTGAAATAAGAATGAACTGTTAACTCCATACACTAAGAGCTTTAACACTTACAGGAAAGGGCATTATTGGTATTTATATTTTCTTTTAGAATTTCAAAAGGAAATGTAAAAAATGATGAGTTCAGATAAGGATTATCATCCTCATAAATAAGAAAAGTTGTTCTCAATTGAAAAAAGGCCTATTTTCCTTGCTTTTGAAATTTATGTACTCTTATAGTTTTTCTGGTTTTGTCTTAAAAAGCTTTTAAGGCAGTGCTAGAAAAGTAGATGAAGTTAAGAATATGATTTTAAACTTCATAACTCAAGGTGAAGTTGTTAATGACTCTTCAGATTTCCCATAGTTTTAAGACTTGAGCCAAAATGCTAATGGATATAATTAAACCATATATAGTTGAATCCATTGATCTCGGTTAGAAAATAGCCCGATGGTTAAAATTGAAAAAAAATACATAAAGAAAGCTACTATACATGTAAATTAAGTGTGCCAGCATGTAGAAACATGCAAAGAAAGTAGAAACACTAGCCCTTGAAGTTACAATAAACAAAAGAAAACGGTTTCACTCCTGATTTTCTTACTTTTTATGCAGCTAACTATCTCCATTTGATTCTAATTTTTATAAGAGATAATGTATTCTCCTTCATTAAACTCAGACTAAAACATTCACACACTTCTTACTTATTTTCATCAGTATGCATTACAACGGGCGAAATTATTACTTTATTAGTGTTTCTTATAAACTGATAAGCTTGAAAAGACAGATTGTAACACCGTCCCCAAATGTATTTACTTTTAAGTGAATAATGTATTGAAACTTGTGGAATGGTTAATAAGTATACGAAGTTGTGAACTTTTATTAATCCTTTTGCGTGAATAGTGAATTCGCACGCGGGGCCCACACCGGGAGCGGGGGCCGCCCGATATTCCCGAGACCGTATATCTTATTCATCTTGGTCGAAATAATATTTATATAGTAGTGGATCATATTTTTTGGGCAAGGGGAAAGATATAATGTGTACCGTTTGGTCAAAAGTGGCTCAAATACCGGTTTTGGTAATTTCACGGATAACAGCCGAAATGAATTTCGGGGGCTTATAAATTTAAGTTGGGGAATGTATATTCATTATAAGGGTCATAATGATTGAGAACACATAATATATTTTATTTGACCCGATAAAATAAAATATATTTAAAACAGTCCGAAAAATACAACTTTCGGGACCGACTGTACACTTCTGGACAAAAAGGGTTGACCTCCCACATGGGTGGGGGCCAACCCACGAATTTGGCCTCATTTTTTCAACACATTGGCCGGCTGGGTGATGGGAGAAACATGGGTGATGTGTGTGAAGTGAAAGAAGAAGCATCAAACAAAAATGAGGGGACCACATCCACCCCCATTTGATCTTTGAGACAAAAGACCATCCCCTCACCCCTCTCTCCCTCATCCCTGCGGCCAAACACCCCAAGCAAGAGCCAAGAAAACTCCCCATCCTCCTTTTCCCATCTTTGAAGAGAGCTCAAGCA